TGTTACAGTTACCGTAGTGGTATTGCAAGTCTATGTATATCTGACACCATAACCAGTTCCTGGTTTCTATTCTCATGGTGTTCCACATGAAAGCTGATGCCAAACGTCACATCCATATGACTGCATCTGATTGTAAAGAACTGCCTACTGCACAGTTCTTGATGGATTTTTTGCTCCAACACAGTTGCCAAAGAGTGAGGTACATCCTTTTCCATTAGGAAGGGGACCTTCACAATGTCAAATGCAAAACTATGTTCACTACAGCACTTGTACAGATTGCCTTTATGACAGCCATTGGGAAGTACTGTACAGTAATTCCTGTTTTTTTTTTCAGTAGTACTTCTATGCTCACTGTTTTCACTCCTGACTTCTGTATGATGAAGTTATGATAACTGTTAGCAAATCATTTGTCTTTTGCTCCCCCTCCTTGCAATAAATGCGTACTATCAAATGATTTAAAAAATAAATTTTAAGCTTCTTGGTTGAACATGTCAGTTTTCCTCAGACCATGAAATTTTGTTTCTGTGAAGACAAAATGAATTACTGTAGTATATGAATACTCCACTGTGGCCATGATGTGAGATGTACTTTTATTACCAACAGAACTATGGAACACCCGTGAGAATGAAGTCACTCCAGGCAATTTCTGCAGCCTCCTAAGTAATGGGCAGGGAGCCAAAGAAGTTACATTAGAAGGAGACAGAGAATCTTTGTGCCTTGCCATCCATTCCTTGGATGTTACTATCTCCGTCATCAAGTTTCATTACTTACGAGCCAGAATTGAGTCTCAGTCTGTTATCATCTTCATCTTTCATTCTCTGAACCCTCCTTATTGGAAGTCAAGTGAGATAAGTGTAACATTATTGCGAGCTGATGAAAGCCTAAGTACGCACTTTGTGTACAGCTGTCCTGGCATGATATGAACTTTAAAAAAAAGCAGTGTACTTTATGAATGAATGAAAAGTACATAATTTGAGGGTTTAACCGAAGGTTTGCGAGCATAGAGATGCTAGATGGGTGTACAGTTCTTTCCTACGTCTGCCTACCTGCCTATGTGCTTAGGCCATTCATCTAGGCAGATATATTTGGCTGATGAAATTTATTTTCTTCTGTTAATTTTTTCTGCAAACTATGTCAATTTTGGCACCACACTGTTGGGCCAATGTTTCTGGAGTCAGTCAGTCAGTCATTCAGTCAGTCACTCACTCAGTCACTCAGTCACTCACTCACTCAGTCACTCACTCACTCACTCACTCACTCACTCACTCAGTCACTCAGTCACTCACTCACTCACTCACTCACTCACTCACTCACTCACCCGTAATGTACTGTGCCTATCACCTTGTCAGAACGTCTTGTTTAAGTCCTGTTGTCATATTTAAGAACAAAATCCTGTCTGCAGTTTTTAAATGTTGTGTTAGAAAAGATATTGTCTGCAACAGGTGAAATTCTGATGCAACATTGACCTTGGTCTGAGGCAGTTCATTCTGCCTATGTGCTCATGTATTATGAGCCTTTACCTTCCCTGTCAGCAGAACGTACTGCACCTGCACAAAACCCGTAATGTATTGTACACAGTACTTCGACAGAATGTCTCATAAGGTTGTATTCGCTCATATAAGGTTAGCATTTCGACAGTAGTTTCCAAATGTTGTGTCGGAGAGAATATCCTCTGCAACAGGCAAAATTCTGATGCAACGTTGACCAAAAACCCAACAAAAAATGCGAAAATACGGGGTTCTGCGCAGGCGCAGTACGTTCTGCCGACGTGCTCCCTGATGCATGCTGGGAAATAACTTGTTAACTTCCCAGTCTCAATATGAACATTAGACTTTGTTTCTAGCAGATGATTCAATGGCGAAAGCAATTACTGCAAAGTATGGTGCGATGGAACAGGTGCATACCAGACCTAATTACGTTACACCAGAAGAGACGTCTGCAGGGAATAAATCCTTTGCCAGGGTCATTACCTCCGTCCTGCTAACTACTAAGTGCAGTGAAGAGAACGAGAGAGGGGTGGAGAGGATACAATACAGCCACCTGCTTCCCCCAGGCTCGATTCTTGCCTTAATTCTCACCTAATGAACAATTCACTTTCAGCTGATTGATACCACCGAGCCTAACATCCATTACCAAGGCTGAAAACTAATTTCGTCCCACTGCCAGGAAGGGCTGTTGCAAATCGACAGCACGTTTGATCTCATTAGAGAGGAAAATTTGATAACACAATACAGTGACTATGTATCAAAACAGTCAAGTGAAGGTCTGCTGCACATTTAGTACATATTGACCGTGATTAACACCTAGTACTTGTTCTGCAGTTACATGAATTTGATGTTAGATTAACGTCAGATTGTAAGTTACCCAATTTTGCAGAGCCCGTGATCAAACTGATGAAAATCGAACTGCGATAGTCGCTTTACATGTAATGTTATCGGAGACGTGTCACAAGTTGCACTCATAATGTGGGCAACATGAGGAATTCTATTCTTAAAAGGAATCTACAGGATCTTCCTCAGAGGATTTTTATGTTTCACCAGAGAACAGAGCTGTCCAATGTGATGAACTGTTAGAGCTGAAAGCATCAGGATACATGACATTGTACATGTATGTCTTGGCAACTGATAAATCTGTTTGCTACACGTAGATCTGACGCCTACAGTTCCCATCACAATTGATGGCTTGGAAGTTTGCTCCCTCTAAGTGCTTTTTCCTACTATTGGTAAAATGGGATTGAGCTAAAATGCAAGGAGGACAATAGTTGAACTTACATGTACAAGCAATATTACAGAATATTGTTTTTAATTATAGATTTTTAAAAAGTTGTAACTGAAGGATTCCTGGCAATTGCTGTGCTGATAAATGGAGTTTTTTTATGAGAAATTTTTACTTCACGATCCTGCAAAGAAGTACTTCTCTGTATCTGTATAGAATAACTGACCTTCACCATAGCACTTGCCAGCTATTTGAATTATTACCTGCCATTCTTATTGATTCAGCCCTGAGGGTACCTGTGGATGTGACTGGAAGTTCTTTGATAAACATGTACATGTAGCCAAAAGATAAGGAACAAAATGTGACACATCATAAAAATTGTGCAGATTTACATTTATTCTTTAGGGGACTTTAGGGGGCAACTTTTCTCCCGCACTTTTGATATATTTGAAAAAAATGTGTGTCCAATGATTGATTATTTTTCAAATAGATAGTCTGCTACATAAATGATCTTCTATTGACTATAATAGGTACCGGATGAAAAGGATACTTCAGATAGCTTAGAAAAGGTGAGCCTTGTACTGTTGGGATTAGTTTTAGCAAATTCCAACCTTGAGTGATGATAGAACTAGACAGACCTCCACCTCAATTGTAGAGAGGGAGCCTAGTTGCTGATTGCTTGCCATCATTGGTCAACGTGAAGCTGTGAGGTCAATTGAATCAATTCCCACAAAAAGGGCTGAGTAGGCCCAGCAAAAAGTCAACCTAAAGAACTGTATGATGCTAATACTGCGACATTAAGGGGAATGTGTCCTTCAACCATATACATCATCAGGGTGCAAAATACTTTTTAGGACAAAAGCTTAGGTTGCCCATCAAACTTTTTGGTTGTCCCAGTTACAATGCGTTCAAATTGATAAAAATTAATGATTAGCTATTCTTAGTACCTTGACAACAAAGAAGTCCAACTAATTAACTCTACTACTTACCTACCACATGTGTCAGACACTAATTAACTCACAAGTCTCAAATAAAATTACACCTTTAAATTTTAAATTGTCTTGTAAATACTCAAGTACCCGTTTGTACATTGAGGTAAAACAAACTATGTAAAGAGCATTAACAGAACAAACAAGAGGTACATGTACTAGAAGTTTCGACCATGCAGTATGATTGCCTGACTGTTTATTTCAGAAGCCGTCAGCCGGGCCGCTGTATTAAAACTTTATTATGTCACTTTGTAAGCATAAAAATGATAACTTGCTCACCATAAAACCTGGCATCTCACACAAGTCTTGCACTGAAAACATGGCTTGCACGGCCAGAGTGTGAGAGTTGGCATTTGGGTATTTCGAATACTGATCATTGATGATAACTGGGTGAAGAATATACTGGGCAAAAGTCCCACAAAACTTCATTTAGCTTTAGGCTAACTTCAACTAACACTGTGGCCATGTTCACATTGTGACGACCTTGAAGGCAAACTTGAATGCCAGAAACTCATGGTGAGAAGATTGGAAATGTTGAAAGTGACCCCAATCACTGACCTTCTTACTGTCTACAGTGGGTAAACGTAAGGCTAGTCCTGAACTACTGCATAACTTGATCCAGTGCTAAGCACCCGGAACCTGAAACCATCAAAAGTCTTCAGAAACGTGCCTGCTGTGTGATCCATAACTAAGAGTAACGGTTACGGACAGACTATAATTACATGTGAAGCATTACTACTGGACACACTTGATGATGGAATGTGCAATAACCAAAGGTCAGAGACAATCCAGTCCAAAAGAACTGCTCTAAACAATGAGGAGATTATTATTGGACTGAGTAGAGCACTTTGGACTAATGCCTCTTACTTAGACTAGCTCTAAATGTTCCAGGTCCAGACCTTCCCTCAGTCATCTATAGGTAAATTTGTAGGTAATGCTCAAGAAAAAATAAAATCTGAAGAGTTGATTCTTTTATACATGCTCACAAATGTTTGTTACCTTCCATACACTCTTTAGCCTCATTGAAGACATATGATGATAGAAATTTTTGGAAAGAAGAACAGTATAACATTATAGTTTATCATGATGAAAATTTTCAGATAATGTACTGTTGCCAGAAGTACTGTAGGTGCCTTCAACACTATTTGCCTTCAACAAGTTTTGGAATGCTGTCTCCTTTTCTCTTCACATGACCTACTGTGGCAGATGAAACCAGCATTAGCCTAAGAGCTTATCGATAGCAAATACAATTTATAAAGTCATGTAATTTATCACTCTCCTCTTCACCAGGGTGGAAGAGGTGTTGCAGAAGAGAGGTGTGAACTCCCAACTGTTTCTCCACATGGAGTACACCCCCCTCCCACCCATCAACCTCACCAACACAAGTGGGCTGGATGGATCGACGGAAGGTCCTGCCCTGAAGGAGGAGCCAGATCAAGGTGATAAAAACCATTACTGTAAATTGGAGAAGCCTTAGCAATAACAACCTCGGAATGGGATCTGTGAGGCTGACCACATGTGTCAGACACAGTACATCGCACTCTGGCATTTCCAGTTCAGCTAATAAAGGTGAAGCGTATTCTTGGCACGAGGCGTCCAGTTCTAGAGCTGAAAGGTAATCTGTAATAGTCTCCTTGCAATGAGTGAATCCGTTCCCTGGCATTGTATCAATTGTGTCATGATAATTTAAAGTTTAAGTAAGGGTTGCACTGAAAAAAAATTAAACTTCCTTAAAAAATCCAGTGAAATGCCTGCCCATGGTGGTAAAGATTCTGAACCTACTTACACTTTCTGTGTGCAACTCTAGACCAATCTTTCAAGAAAA